TGCCATTCCCTGCTGCTGAAGACGGTCAGAGACCGGGGAGATGTACGATGAGCCTGGTAGGAGTCACTTCTATTACCACTATACAAATCAATGTTCACCCTCCTATTTTGAGACTACTGGAGTCCAAGGGCCTCAGATCATGGGACCTAGTGGGCACCAGGTACCTAGTGGATAACTCTCCACCTGTGCTAGAAAGCTGCAATTTTTTGCTGTTTGTCTTGTTGGTATTTTTGGCCGCCCTCCTGGGTGTTGCTTGTGGACCTCCCACTGGTTTCCCGAATGTGCTTTGTTTACAAGCAGCGCCCCCGAGGACCGGCAGAAATGCCAACAAGACAACAACTGACGTGTTCTAGCCCAGATGGGGTTTCATACCTTAGGTCAGTGGTGGCGAACCTTGGCACTCCAGCTGTGCCAAAACTACAAATCCCAAGATGCATCTGCCTCTGGGAGTTATGTCTGTGGCTGTCAGAGCCTTGCAATGTCTCATGGGACTTGTAGTTCCAAAACAGCCGGAGTGCCGAGGTTCGCCACCACTGCCTTAGGTTGTGCGGCCCCTTTGGGGGTTCTTTTCTCTTGCATCCAGCGTCTTGCTCCTGTAGGCGGCAGTATTGAGCTCGGTGGTTGGATGAGCTGTGTCCCTCAGAGGAAATCATTTTACCGAGTACAAATAATTCTATATTTCATAATATTATAGATCTGTTATTCCGGCCCTCGCCTCATTCTCCTCCAGATCAATCTTTTTGGCAGCCCTCAGAAGTCTCAAATGACTTTATCAGAACGTTCGGCCCGATTGTTTTACTTCGGAGGTTCTGGGACTGTCTGCGAGACGCCTTCAAAACCAAGTCAGGGCTTTTCCCCATAGTTCTCCTCAGGGTAACGGGAGGACACAAACCAGCATCCTCCCGTTACCCTAAGCTCAGTATATAGGGAGCTACAGCTCGCGGTATACTGAGACGCCGGAGCGGATCCCGACATCGATGTCGAGATCCGCCCAGCTGCGTGAGTGACAGCTGGCTCCTCCTATCTAGAGGCAGAGCCAGGTGTCCCCGCCCCCCTCCGTTCCGCCAGTCAGCGCTGGAGGATCGGAGCGGGAAGGGGGGGAATCCAGCCCCTCCCCTGTCACGCGTCTCCGCCATGACAAGATCGAGAAGTGAGCGAACGGCGGTATGTGTTCGCTCACCTCCCGATCTACTGATCCGACCTGTGACAGGTCGGCTAGAACTATGAGGAGGAGTGAAAAGCACCCCCCTCATAGTTCTCCTTTAATAACGGGGGACAGAAATAGGACTTGCGACCTGCAATGTGATGGCACAATGAAACCTCCAACATGAAGCATTCAATATTACCCCAACCTGTCCGTCTGTCTCCCACCTTGACTGTCTTTAGGTGATCCCTTAAGACTCATCTCTTCCGGGAAGCCGATCCCACCTCAACCTAACCACTGAACCTTCACATTCTCAAACAATTCACCCCCGCACAGCTCCCTCCTCCCTCCTCCCCTTTCAGATGGTAAGCCCTCGGGGGCGGGGCCCTCCTTACCATCTTGTCTTGAATTGTATTGGGATTGTAATGTCTTCCTTATATTGTAAAGCGCTGCGCAAACTGTTGACGCTCTATAAATACTATGTAATAGTAATAATAATATTAACCTCCGATTGAGCAGTGGCACCGTAGACACGTTTAGTTGTTTTACATTTCATGTGATGACATTTATTACATCTCGTGTAACTTTCGGAAAAGCCAAGACCCATGTGTTCCTCTAAGTGTTTACCGGAAGCTGAAGTGCAGATAATGGCCGGTATTGATGCGTGTTCCCCTCCTGAGTTATACATAATTGATGACGGCGTGGTTCCAGTCATTTCTCTGATCCGGTAATTCACCTTCCATTGTCTTGTTGTTTTTGTTTCCAGACCTCAGGTGAGAAAGTCAGTAAGCTGAGTCTGGTGGATTTAGCTGGAAGCGAGAGAGCCACAAAGACGGGCGCCGCCGGGGAGCGTCTGAAAGAAGGGAGCAATATTAACAAGTGAGTGTGTGCGACCCTCCGGGCCTATTGTGTGTTGTACACCGAGCGGAAGACCAATTACATTAAGTGCTGTGCGGAAACGCTGATTGTATACTGCATACCGCGTGCTCGGTGTTTGTAGAGATCTCACCTCAACACTGCCCATTCACGGCATGCCACGTTTCACCCCAAGTGCCACCATCGCTGCCAACCCAGGAACAGCTCTTCTTATCGGCACTACAGCCAATTCGGAGATGGCTCTTCTGATTGGCAGTGATTTAGCAGGCGAAGTGATGTGTGGCTTGCCGATAAAGCCCTCCAGATACGTTTTTTTTTAACCTGTGTACACCAGCCCTGTACCCCGTTGCCTCCAGTGTGTTCCTCCATGCCTCCTCTGCTGACAGCGTTCCCTATACCTGTCCTCATTTGCCTCAGTGTCCCTGTGCCCAGTGTGGCACCCGTGTCTTCAAGTGCGCCCGTGTTTCCTGTGCACCCCTCTACACCCCTGTGTTTCCAAGTGTGCCCCTTGTGTCTCTAGCGCTCCCTCGTGTCTCTGGCGCTCCCTCGTGTCTCTGGCGCACCCTCGTGTCTCTGGCGCACCCTCGTGTCTCTGGCGCTCCCTCGTGTCTCTGGCGCTCCCTCGTGTCTCTGGCGCCCCTATGTGTATCCAGTGTGTCCATGTCTCCAGTGCACCCCTCTACACCCCTATGTTTCCAAGCCAACACCTGTGTCACCAAATGTGACTTTCTACACCCCTGTGACTTCAGTGTGCTCCCGTGTCTGCTAATGCACCCTTGTGTTTTCAATGCGCCCCTTTGTAACCCATGTTACAAGTGCACCCCCCACCCCCATGTGTCTCCAGTGCATCCCTCTATGCCCCTATATCTCCAGTGCCCCCCCCCTGTATCTACACCCCTGTGTTTCCAAGTGAGCCCCTGTGTCTCCAAGTCCACCCCTGTATCAACAAATGTGACTCTCTCCCCCCCCTCCCCCCTGTGTGTCCAGTGCACCCCTGTTTGCCCCATGTCTCCACTGTGCCCCCGTGTCTCCACTGTGCCCCCGTGTCTCCACTGTGCCCTTCTATGCCTCATATCTCCAGTGCCCCCCTCTTACACCTCTGTGTTTCCAAGTTTGCCCCTGTGTTTCCAAGTCCACCCCTGTGTCACCAAATCTAACTCTCTACACCCCTGTGCACTTCTGTGACACTTGCATATGCAGCTTCCTCGATGGTCCTGCAATCACTCTGACTGACCATCTCTTAGTAGATGCACCCCCCTCTCCATGACAACTGTGAAGGATGAAGATGTTTAGTGGAGGATGAAGGTATTTATCGGATTTTATATTGTGTGTTTTCTTTCCCAACAGATCGCTCACCACCCTGGGCCTGGTCATCTCTGCCTTGGCAGACCAAGGAGCTGGGAAGAATAAAAATAAGTTTGTTCCGTATCGGGACTCTGTGCTGACATGGCTGCTGAAAGTGAGTATGGTGTCGTGTTGTCATGCCCCAGTAATCGTTGTATCGTGCCCATGTCGGGGTACAGTGACCGCGCACATTCACACACAGTTTTTAAACTATTTCATGCCTTGATTTAACATTTTTTACTTGCAAACTATTTTATATTGTCATAGACACGTGGGGGGAGGGGGAGGGGGGAGATTTATCAAAACTGGAGTAGACGGAATATGGAGCAGTTGCCCATGGCAACCAATCAGCGTCTCTTTTCAATTTGCTCAGTTAGGGATTTGTAAATAAGAGATAGAAGATTTTCTCTGCTCCAGTTTTGATTCCCCCTATTGTGTGTACCCCTATTGGCTGTGTGTACACTGTGTGTCTGATGTATAAAGTCGTAAGGCATTCCCTCCACTAGGAGGAGCTGGGGAGCATAGGAAATTCCTATTCTTATCCCACCTCCTGTGAGCTCAGACTGTCATTGGCACGCTCCTTGTGGATGGCTCATCACACTTGCCTGGGCTCACAGGGCAATGATGCAGAGAATGGCGGCCAGGTGACTACGTGAGCTCGTTCTCTGCATCATTCGGGATCGCGCCACTGCCAAAGACCAATGGGAGAGGAAGAGGAGGACCATGCATGTCACATGACCAGACTGAAGAGGTATGTATATTGGTTTTTAGGGGGGTTGCGTTAACGTCCACCACTCCAGAAGCAGGGGAGGAGTGCTGATCATGTTGCCGGTTTGGTTGATGACGGACATAACTGGGCCTGATCGCTGTCACATGCATTTTGACATTGTGGTTTTGTGTTCTGATCTTTGCTCCAATGTATCCTTTAAACTTCCATTTCTGATTGTGTCATTTTAGGACAGTTTGGGCGGAAACAGCAAAACTGCGATGGTGGCCACAGTCAGCCCTGCTGCTGATAACTACGACGAGACACTTTCCACTCTACGGTACGCCGACAGGGCCAAGAACATAGTCAACCACGCCGTGGTGAACGAGGACCCCAACGCCCGAATCATTCGAGAGCTGCGGGAAGAGGTGGAGAAGCTGCGAGATCAACTGACGCAGGCTGAGGTGAGGCCTACTCAACCCTTCCATGACCAGGGAGTCAGTGATGTAAACTAGAGATGCACCGATACAGATACTAGTATCGATATTGATGCCGAGTATTTCGCCCCAAATGCTCTGATACCGGAACTTCCAGGCATAGAGGGGTGCGCTGGAGACATGGGGGTGCACTTGGAAACACAGGGGGGGTAGAGGGGTGCACTGGAGACATGGACACAGTAAAGATAGAGGGGTGCACTGGAGACACAGGGGCGCGCTGAAGTCATGGGGAAGTGCCCATAGAGAGGGAGGGGGGCAGGTAAACTCCAGCTGTGATGAAATTTCAATTCCCACCATGACTCCGCCCCTTGGTGTTTATACCTGTGGCTGACAAGGTCTTGCAATGCCTTATGGGACTTCTAGTTGCACCACAGCTGGAGTTTGCCCACCCCTCATCTAGAGGGACATTTGTTAGAACTGTCATTTGTGGTCTTCTGCTGGGAATTAATAAACTCGCGTATGGAAACTGACCAATTCTGCTTACTGATCTTTTTATAGAACGGTGGGATTTGTTAATATAATCCGGGCCAGGTACTTTTTGTTTTGTAAGTTCTTGGATTTGCTCAATTAATGAAAAAAGTAAATATTTTTTTTTTTCTCTTCCCCCCAACTCCATTTTTCGTTTTGGTGCTGGTTCTCATGTGTAGCACTGGGGCTCCCCCTGGTGGCTGAATTGTGTGTTACATAGAATAACAAATTCGGACACTTGCACCTTTTTTCTTTTTAATTTATTTATTACAGATATTTATGATATTTACACAGCGCTTTACATTGTGCACATTAACATCAGTCCCTGCCCTCAAAGAGCTTCCAATCTAAGGTCCCTATCTCACATGCGTACGAGGGCCGATTTTAGACAGGAGCCAAATAAAGGAGAACTATGGGGGTCGGGGCTTCTCCTCATAGTTCTCCTCGGTAACAGGAGGACACAAACTAGCGTCCTCCCGTCACCCTAAGCTCAGTATATAGGGAGCTACAGCTCGCGGTATACTGAGACGCCGCAGCCGGGACGGATCTCGACACTTCTTCTCCTAAACCAACAACACACTCTGATAATAGAATCTCCTTTAGAACTGCCGACAACAAGGGCCGACCTGACTGGTTATAAGCTGCATGTGTTGTGCTGGCCGGACCTCACAATATATAGATTTGATGCATCTAAAGCAGATTGTACAGAGATTGTCCTATCATCATGCATTGTGATAGATAGATATAGGATGGATATAGGATGGATGGATATAGGATAGATATAGGATGGATGGATATAGGATGGATATAGGATAGATATAGGATGGATGGATATAGGATGGATATAAGATAGTGACATCATCTACCGTTCAGGATCCTTGATGACATCTCTTCTACAGAGGGGCAGGTTTGAGGGTTTCTGAGCTTCACCAGCTAGCCATTTCATACCATGCCAGTCATAGGGAAATGTACACAGTGCTAATGGCTTGCCTTGGCCTGACTGGCTCCTGAACTCTAGGTTGTTGCATCAATTTTCGCCCGGCTTTATTACTTCATCATCTGTACCTTTTTTTTTTTTCCCCACCCGACAGTCAATGAAAGCACCTGAACTGAAAGAACGGTTACAGGAGTCGGAGATGCTCATCCAGGAAATGACAGTGACGTGGGAGGAGAAGCTGCGCAAGACGGAAGAAATCGCTCAGGTTGTAGCCCAGATTTTTATGTCCGATTTAGAAATATTAACCGGTTGTGGAGCCGGGACGTACCGCACACGCCCACTCAAAGTGCACAGGATGTATGTCGTACGCCCTGTCCTGCTGCTGTTATCACCACAGACCCAGCCGTACATTTGTCTGATCTGAGATAAGGAGATACAAAGTGATATTGCTACTTTTTGTAGTTACTCCGTTTCATTCATCTGCAGATCAAAAAGATACTTGATCTTTTGTTCTGCATATGATATCGTGTGGGGCCACTTCACACCAATTACAGTGCGTTCCAGAACGGTAGCTGCTGGAACATGCTTGCATGTTGTGGTCTGCGGATGTAGGTATGCTGATGTTATGGTCTGCGGATGTAGGCATGCTGATGTTGTGGTCTGCGGATGTAGGTATGCTGATGTTATGGTCTGCGGATGTAGGCATGCTGATGTTGTGGTCTGCGGATGTAGGTATGCTGATGTTATGGTCTGCGGATGTAGGCATGCTGATGTTGTGGTCTGCGGATGTAGGTATGCTGATGTTATGGTCTGCGGATGTAGGCATGCTGATGTTGTGGTCTGCGGATGTAGGTATGCTGATGTTATGGTCTGCGGATGTAGGCATGCTGATGTTGTGGTCTGCGGATGTAGGTATGCTGATGTTATGGTCTGCGGATGTAGGCATGCTGATGTTGTGGTCTGCGGATGTAGGTATGCTGATGTTATGGTCTGCGGATGTAGGCATGCTGATGTTGTGGTCTGCGGATGTAGGTATGCTGATGTTGTGGTCTGCGGATGTAGGTATGCTGATGATGTGGTCTGTGGATGTAGGTATGCTGATGTTATGGTCTGCGGATGTAGGTATGCTGATGTTGTGGTCTGCGGATGTAGGTATGCTGATGTTGTGGTCTGTGGATGTAGGTATGCTGATGTTATGGTGTGCGGATGTAGGTATGCTGATGTTATGGTCTGCGGATGTAGGTATGCTGATGTTATGGTCTGCGGATGTAGGTATGCTGATGTTATGGTGTGCGGATGTAGGTATGCTGATGTTGTGGTCTGCGGATGTAGGTTTGCTGATGTTCTGGTCTGCGGATGTAGGTATGCTGATGTTGTGGTCTGCGGATGTAGGTATGCTGATGTTGTGGTCTGCGGATGTAGGTATGCTGATGTTCTGGTCTTCTAGGAGCGTCAGAAGCAGCTGGAAAGTCTCGGCATATCACTCCAGTCCTCAGGGATCAAAGTCGGAGACAACAAGTGCTTCTTAGTCAATTTAAATGCGGACCCGGCCCTCAACGAGCTTCTGGTCTACTACCTTAAGGTGAGTCATTCTTGGAAATTGCGGAGATCTGGAAAGTTGAGGTGCTGATGAAATTTTTTAGTAGGTCTTCAGGCCCTAGAAATGAGAGATGTGGAGGTACAGTGCATATTAGGCATACAGGGAACACCCAGGTATTCTATAGACCGCTGAGCCACCTCCTGCGTAAGGTCCCCATATTCCCACCAACCACATCTGAAGACTTACAGTCATTTTTGTGTCACCCCCCTCTGAAAAGTATCAGTAGGGAGGAGGGGACCCGGCGGCATACCTTATCCCGCCGGGTGACTTTCTCCTCCTCTCTCTGCCGGCGTCCATCACCAAGATGGCCGCCGGCAAGTATCGCGTGGTGACGTCACGCAGGTGCGCAGTGACGTCTCGGTGGGGTGACACTCGGACACCGCTCCGGGTGTCCCCCAGCCTCGGGACGCCCCTGTCCGAGGCTCTAATGTGTGGGCAGGATGTTACTGATCTGTTGATTAACTCCACAGAATGTTGAGGGGCCTTGTCATTAGGGATGCAGCGATATCAGTATCGGTGCCGGTACTGGGCATTGGTGAAAATGCCCCGATGCCGGCCCTTTACATTTTTAAACAAAAGGTGGTTGCCATAAGGTCCCGCACTTGCTGGGGACCTCACGCCAGCCTTGTGGGAACCTTGTGACGCCTGTTTACACCACCGGTCCAGCCGCACATCTCTTCCTTCCCGCTTAGCTATGGTGAGACCCGGCATAGCACTGGGAAAGCCCACACAACCCTGGTGAGTAACAGAGTATGTAGCGTCATATTATTTTGCATTGCTGTATAATGTATTACTGGGATTTGTAGTCCTCTATAGCTGGTGGTGTAATACATTATACAGCAATGCAGAATAATAATACCATCAGGACTACAAATCCCAGTAATACATTATACAGCAATTCAGAATAATAATACCATCAGGACTACAAATCCCAGTAATACATTATACAGCAATGAAGAATGGCACCAGCTGTAGAGGACTACAAATCCCAGCAATGCGGAATAATACCATCTATCGAGGACTACAAAGCCCAGCAATACATTATACAGCAATTCAGAATGGCATCGGCTATAGAGGACTACATTTCCCAGCAATACATTGTACAGCGATGCAGAATACCACCAGCTATATAGGACTACAAGTCGCAGTAATACATTATACAGCAATGAAGAATGGCACCAGCTGTAGAGGACTACAAATCCCAGCAATGCGGAATAATACCATCTATAGAGGACTACAAACCCCAGCAATACATTATACAGCAATGCAGAATACTGACACCATCATCTATAGAGGACTACAAATTTCAGCAATGCATTATACAGCAATGCAGAATAATACCATCATCTATAGAGGACTACAAATCCCAGCAATACATTATACAGCAATGCAGAGTAGTGTTGCAGAGTAGTGTATGAAATTGCTACATACTCTGTGCTGCCGCGATGCTCAGGGGTGCCGGGCCTGATGTCTCAGGGGGAGGGTCTCAGTAGGGGGAGATGGGCGGGCCAGCAGGAGCGCTGTAAGCTGGCCCCTCGTGGTTCCCAAGAAGGCTTTCCCACGAGGTCCCCAGCAAGTGCCGGGACCTAAGGGAGCCGCTTCATTTTGTGCCGGTATGTAAAGCGCCAGTATCAGTTTTTTGGTATCTGAGCATTTTCATGAGTACGAGCAGGTGTATCGGCGCCGATACTGGTATCGGTATTGGTGCATCCCTTATCAATACCTTTAAAAAAAAAAGGTGCGTACACTTTAAATGATACAATGATTCCGCCATCACAGGCCGCGTCAGTATTTTTATTGCTAAAGTTGTTTTTCTGGATTCCTTTTGCGTATCTCATCATTTTGTTTTGCGTCCATAAAACTCCGCCCCGCCCCCCTTTTTTGTAGTTTTGTTGTTTCCTGTCCCTGACTCTGATTCAAGTAATCGGAAAGAAAGTTCACTTGAGGAAACCGGCCGGTCCCACAATGTTGCCGTCTCTCACCCATGTCCAGCGGCTGCAGAGACAGCAGAAAATGCTTTTTTTTCTTTCCTCCTGACCGGCATGGGTGGCGCACGCCAACTAACAGTGCAAGAGAGAGTTCTTCAAAGCAGACCTGGCCTAAAATGTTTCTGAAACTGAAATGCCGGGACCCTATGGAAGTCTTCTCATCGGTCCATGTGGATCATGGGGGTTCTAGGCCAAGTACATGGGAGCTTCTAGATTGAAGGGTATGCCCAAATGAACCCCCAAACGTTCCTCTCCCCCCTCCTAGATCACGTCTCATAATTTTTTTTTTGTTTTTCTGTTACCTTGTTACTGTACCAAGAAACAGTTTTTATTATTCAATGTGACCTCATCACCAGGCTTGTAAAATTCAGGGACAGCCGCTGGGAATGTATGCCCCCAGATTTACATCTCCTAAGAGCCCTTAGTGCAAAAAAGTGCGGACAGGCTTATGAGGATCAAGGCAGCAATGTTGTTTTACTGGGAAAGAAATCAATGTATGCATAGAGGGTATAGTGTATATACACTATAAGTATTGGCACACCCCTCCAAATCATCGGATTCGGGTGTTCCGTGACATTTTCCGGCTACTAAATATTCCGCGGTCACCTGTTACTGGGATTATAACAAAGTGGAAGAAACTGGGAACAACAGCAACTCAGCCAGGAAGTGGTCGGCCACGTCACATGACGGAGCGGGGTCAGCGCATGCTGAAGCACAGAAGTCGCCGACTGTCTGCAGAGTCAATAGCTACAGACCTCCAAACTCCATGTGGACTTCAGATTGGCACAACAACAGTGCGTAGAGAGCTTCATGGAATGGGTTTCCATGGCCGAGCAGCTGCATCCAAGCCGCACATCACCAAGTGCAATGCAAAGCGTGGGATGCCGCGGTGTAAAGCACGCCGCCACTGGACTCTAGAGAAGAGGAGGCGTGTTCTCTGGAGTGACCAATCACGCTTCTCTGTCTGGCAATCCGATGGGCGTGTCTGGGTTTGGTGGTTGCCAGGGGAACGGTACTTGCATGACTGCATTGTGCCAAGTGTAAAGTTTGGTGGAGGGGGGATTATGGTGTGGGGTTGTTTTTCAGGGGTTGGGCTTGGCCCCTTAGTTCCAGTGAAGGGAACTCTTAAGGCATCAGCATACCAAGACATTTTGGACAATTTCATGCTCCCAACTTTGTGGGAGGAGTTTGGGGATGGCCCCTTCCTGTTCCAACATGACTGCGCACCAGTGCACAAAGCAAGGTCCATAAAGACATGGATGAGCGAGTTTGGGGTGGAGGAACTTGACTGGCCTGCACAGAGTCCTGACCTCAACCCCATAGAACACCTTTGGGATGAATTAGAGGCGGAGACAGCGAGCCCGGCCTTCTCCTCCAACATCATTACCTGACCTCACAAATGGTCCAACTATCCCATAGACAAACTCCTAAACTTTGTGGATGAATTCCCAGAAGAGGCGGAGCTGTTAAAGCGGCAAAGGGCAGAGAAAACCCAATACTGAACCCTACAGACTAAGACTGGGAAGCCATTAAAGTTCATGTGCAGCCGGCGTCCCAATACTTATGGCAATATAGTGTGCGTATGGTGTAGGCAAAGTTCTGTAGATCAGCAGGCGGGGCTTACAATGCCGGTTGTAGATCGGTGGAGGCACTTTGTTGTTGGCCTAAACAGGAAGTTAGGAGATCACTGCATTTCAGACAGATCAAAAGTTTTTTAATTTTTTTGCACTTGCAATTCTTTTGATGGGATAAACAAAACAAATCTTAGATTATCCACAACAAACACCACTCAGATTCCCAAACCGGCTTACACTGTGATTGCATCCCAGATGCAGGTAAAGAAGTGCACCATCGCCTGTATCGGCTAAATCCAGGCAATGCAGCCTGAATGTGGCAGTTTTCATCTTTTTAATGCTGTAATTGACAGATACAGTTACAGTATAAAAAAATATATTTTTTGTGCCCTGTCAGCCTATATTTAAAAAGCAGAGCAGGATTTTTGTTAAGACGGTGCATCACATAAAAGCCTTACATGGCCTTAAATGCATATAATAATTCTCTAGACATCAAGTTGCCCGATCCCCCGGTAAATTATGTCCTGTGCATCTACTCATCTATGACCTCCGGTTTAAGACGGTTAAATCTGCTCCTGGTTTTGTTTTTTTCTTGTGTGTTTTGGAGGTCTTTTCAGGAAGGCTTCATAAATATTGTGATGCTTTTACAAACAAAACGTACTTTTTTTGTTCTTCCCTGCAGGATCACACGCTGGTCGGGTCCCACGACTCACAGGACATCCAGCTGTGTGGGATGGGGATCCTCCCCGAGCATTGCGTCATAGACATCACCCCGGAGGGCCAAGTTATGCTGACTTCAATGAAGAACACCAGGTAATCCATCCGTCATTATTATATTATTATTATTATTACAGGTATTTATATAGCGCCGACGATTTACGCAGCACTTTACATTGTTGCACATTCACATCAGTCCCTGCCCTCCCCATCTCACATACATACATAGAGGGCCAATTAACCTTCCAGCATATCTTTGGAGTATGGGAGGAGGACCTACGCAAGCACAGTGAGAACATGCAAACTCCTTGCAGATAGTGACCTGGCCGGGATTCGAACCAGGGACCCCCCAGTGCTGCAAGGCAGAAGCGCTAACCACTAGGTCACTGTGCTGCCCCGCATTCCCCATGACGTAACTCTTCTCTTTTTTCCTTTCAACGACGGTTAACGTTTCATCAAAACTTCAATTTATTTTGCCTATCGGCAATTACAGGGTTAATATTTCACCACCACAGCACACATTATTATCGCTGCGTTATCTGGAAAACCTGCATTTTCCACATAGTTCTGTCAGCGGCAGCATTGAACGTGGAAGTTCTTTTAGTTTGACCGGCTGCTTCTCTGCAGTTTCACCAGCAGGTGGCGCTCTACCTTTTCATATCATTGTTTTTTCTAAGCACTAGAGGGCTCTAAGGGGATAAACAGGACTTAGGTGGTTTGAAAAGACACTTGAGGACCCTCATGACCTGCCGGCAGCCCTGCCGATTTGCTGTCATTAGCTGTGCCATGCAGCTGCTAACAGGTGGAATGGTTTCCTTGCACCAGCAGGTAAGCGCGGGCTCTGTCATTGAATAGGATTTTTTAGCGGAAGATCGATGTGGTCTATTCATTTAGATGAACGGAGAGGCTGAGACGGGGCTGGCTTGGTGTATTCAAAGCCTGAAGTCGTCTTCACTCCGCTCAAGCCGCAGGGAGGTTGTTTGTTTACTATGACTCAATACTGAGCTGCTCTCCACTCTTGTTACTTGCTGTCATTGATTCCTTTATACATAGCAAACACTTTATTCAAGTTAACTCTTCCAGTTGTTTGGGTCTGCTCTGCCCTGGGTCTGAGCTTGGGGTCTGCCCTGGGTCTGAGCTTGGGGTCTTCTCTGCCCGCGGGTCTGAGCTGGGATCTTCTCTGCCCGGGGTTCTGAGCTGCGGTCTGCTCTGCCCGCGGTTCTGAGCTGGGGTCTGCTCTGCCCGGGGTTCTGAGCTGCGGTCTGCTCTGCCCGCGGTTCTGAGCTGGGGTCTGCTCTGCCCGGGGTTCTGAGCTGCGGTCTGCTCTGCCCGCGGTTCTGAGCTGGGGTCTGCTCTGCCCGGGGTTCTGAGCTGCGGTCTGCTCTGCCCGCGGTTCTGAGCTGGGGTCTGCTCTGCCCGGGGTTCTGAGCTGCGGTCTGCTCTGCCCGCGGTTCTGAGCTGGGGTCTGCTCTGCCCGGGGTTCTGAGCTGCGGTCTGCTCTGCCCGCGGTTCTGAGCTGGGGTCTGCTCTGCCCGGGGTTCTGAGCTGCGGTCTGCTCTGCCCGCGGTTCTGAGCTGGGGTCTGCTCTGCCCGGGGTTCTGAGCTGCGGTCTGCTCTGCCCGCGGTTCTGAGCTGGGGTCTGCTCTGCCCGGGGTTCTGAGCTGCGGTCTGCTCTGCCCGCGGTTCTGAGCTGGGGTCTGCTCTGCCCGGGGTTCTGAGCTGCGGTCTGCTCTGCCCGCGGTTCTGAGCTGGGGTCTGCTCTGCCCGGGGTTCTGAGCTGCGGTCTGCTCTGCCCGCGGTTCTGAGCTGGGGTCTGCTCTGCCCGGGGTTCTGAGCTGCGGTCTGCTCTGCCCGCGGTTCTGAGCTGGGGTCTGCTCTGCCCGGGGTTCTGAGCTGCGGTCTGCTCTGCCCGCGGTTCTGAGCTGGGGTCTGCTCTGCCCGGGGTTCTGAGCTGCGGTCTGCTCTGCCCGCGGTTCTGAGCTGGGGTCTGCTCTGCCCGGGGTTCTGAGCTGCGGTCTGCTCTGCCCGCGGTTCTGAGCTGGGGTCTGCTCTGCCCGGGGTTCTGAGCTGCGGTCTGCTCTGCCCGCGGTTCTGAGCTGGGGTCTGCTCTGCCCGGGGTTCTGAGCTGCGGTCTGCTCTGCCCGCGGTTCTGAGCTGGGGTCTGCTCTGCCCGGGGTTCTGAGCTGCGGTCTGCTCTGCCCGCGGTTCTGAGCTGGGGTCTGCTCTGCCCGGGGTTCTGAGCTGCGGTCTGCTCTGCCCGCGGTTCTGAGCTGGGGTCTGCTCTGCCCGGGGTTCTGAGCTGCGGTCTGCTCTGCCCGCGGTTCTGAGCTGGGGTCTGCTCTGCCCGGGGTTCTGAGCTGCGGTCTGCTCTGCCCGCGGTTCTGAGCTGGGGTCTGCTCTGCCCGGGGTTCTGAGCTGCGGTCTGCTCTGCCCGCGGTTCTGAGCTGGGGTCTGCTCTGCCCGGGGTTCTGAGCTGCGGTCTGCTCTGCCCGCGGTTCTGAGCTGGGGTCTGCTCTGCCCAGGGTTCTGAGCTGGGCATCTTCTCTGCCCGCGGTTCTGAGCTGGGGTCTGCTCTGCCCGGGGTTCTGAGCTGGGATCTTCTCTGCCCTATGTCTCAGCTTGGGGTCTGCTCTGCCCTGGGTCTGCGCGGCTCTCCTCCATGCTCTGCAATCGTGTCACTGAGACTGTTATTATGTATCTGTTGTACACAAGGAGCTCGTCTCTGTTACATAACGTGATGGTTTGTGATCTCTGGCGTCCATACATTCTCTACATGCCTGGCCATCGTTAAGTAGAAGGCGTGCGGCGCTGCAACAAGCCCGTTCCTGTCTTCTCACCTGATGCTCCTAATGTTACACAGTGCATTGTTTGCTTTCCTCATCTTATGTTTCTGTGGATTATCTATGATACACAATGTCTGTGGGATTACCGGTTGGAAGGCTTTGATCTATTCAGACAAACTGTAACAGTATTATAAAGTGTTACAGTCATTTCTATTATTATTATTATACAGGAGTTATAGAGCAACAAGAGTTTGTGCAGCGCTACAATATAGAGGGAGACGGTATACTACAATACAATACAAGACAAGATGTTTAAGAGGTTCCTGCTCTTGAGAGCTTAGTTCTTCTTTAACCAGTTCAGCTCTCCCCCCTGTGCCCCCCTCTGTGCACCAGAGCAAGTTATATATTTCCACTATGGGCCTGTTTATTCGGCATAAACTTTGTTATTACTTAAAGTGACACTAAACTCCGGAGTTAAATCGTAAAAATCCATCCGAATCCCCTAACTGAACAACAATGTATCTTATTTGTGTATCACTCGGCTGTAGATCCTCCAATCATCTCTGACACTGTCCTTCCTTTTGGAGGGGGGCTACGTCTGTTCCCCATGGTCCCTGTGTGTGTTGTAAAGTAGTCACCGCTCCAAGCTCACTCCCGGGGTGGACTACAATCTCAATACAAATGAGAAAACTAAACATGAGATTGTAGTCCATCCCGGGAGTGAGCTTGGAGCGATGACTACTTTACAACACACAGAGACCATGGGGAACAGACGTAGCCCCCCTCCAGAAGGAAGGACAGTGTCAGAGATGATTGGAGGATCTACAGCCGAGTGATGCACAAATAAGATACATTGTTGTTCAGAGTTAGGGGACTTTTAATCTCAGGACAAGGCTTTCTTTTGGTGATATTGCCATGCTAAAAATGACTTTATTTTCTATGCAAACCATAGACTATGTAACAAAACTCGATCGACAGACTTTTTTTTTTCCAACTCTCATTGGCGTTGGTTTAAAAAAAAAATCTATTTTTTGTACCAGAATCATAGTTTTAGAATTAGGATTCCGGTACAAATCATTGCAACGTTTCCAAATGAAATAAAAGGATTTTTTTTTTGTGTGCTTTTGTTTCAAGCAACACTGACATTTTTTTTGGAAATTAACTAAATTTAATTGTTAATCGTTAAAAAATTAGATATGAAAAAGTAAGCTTAAAAATTATAGTTATGTAGAAGGGGAAGAAGGAGTTAAATCAACGTTTATATACAATGTTACTTTGTATCTCTCTATCTCCCTCTGTTCAATGTGTATAAACAATGTTACTTCTATCTCCCTCTGTTCAATGTGTATAAACAATGTTACTTTGTATCTCTCTATCTCCCTCTGATCAATGTTTATAAACAATGTTACTTTTTATCTTTCATCTGCTCTCTGAATAATATTCATAAACTCTGTCAGATGGTGCATTTTTTTGACAGCAGCAACTTCTGCAGCTTCTGTATTTATGGAGCAACTTCTGGCTGTCATTTTGACAGTTGGGAATTGCTGGCAAGTGCATGGGGGGGAGGGGGAGGGGGCGAGAGGTTCAGCAGCGGATCTGCCAGTCAATTGGTGCAGCTTAAGTATTCCATTCGAATGTCCTCCAGAGACTGCTTAGCATTCTGTTTTAAACAGCCTCGGGGGGAATTTATTAAAACTGGAGCAGCTATGCATTGCAACCAATCAGCTTCTCTCTTCAGTTTGTTCGGTTAAGATTTGAAAATGAAAGGGAGAAGCTGATTGGTTGCCATGCATAACTGCTCCAGTGTTTCGGGATCAGTATCTTCATCTGCAATTTACATACAGAATTGAATGGCTCGACAGCCGTGATTTATCCCCAGATTACTCAGTCTGGAGTTTCAGTTAGACAAAGTCAGCTGCAAGACAGAATGCTGCTGCTGTTCTCTCACTTTTATCTAAGCCATAGTGCTCTGGGAATCATTTGCCATGTGATTTAAATGTATCTTAATAAATCAAAGAATGTGAAGCTCTAATGCTGACTTCCAGGGGTCTTGTTGGACTGCAGCAGAGAGGCAGCTGTTTCCATACACAGAGCAGTGGTCCTTGTTTGCAGCATGATGGCTGGGAACATGTTTGGCTCTTTTACTGCATCTGGAATCTTCTCACAGAATTTTACAGGAGAGTTAAATTGGGTTATCTTTGAATCATTTGGCCTACCTACATTTTTATTTTTTTTTCTTTTCTTTGGTACACCAATTTAATGGAACTCATTGGTGCTCTGTTTTTAGGCTAAAATATGCAGAGAAAATGTAAAAATAAATACGTTTTAAACATATTTATTTTTCAAATATTTCTAATAGTGCCTTTGTATCTCACAGTTCAGGGGCGTAACTAGAAATCACAAGGCCCGATAGCAAAATTTTGTATGGGGCCCTGTGATTTCTAGTTATGCCCTTGCAGATCCCACCTGATATCCCAAACAGCCCACCAGAGGGTGACCCTGCAGAGCCCACCATAGACTCTCTATGGTGGGCTCTGCAGGGTCTCAGAAAGGCTGCACACCTCTTACCTGTCAGCCCCGATCCGCTGTCTGCCTCCATGGTCGTTGGCAGGCCCCGCCTCCTCCATCGCCGTGCCCCACCTCCTCTTCCATTGTCCGGCCTGCCTCCTCCTCTTCCATTGTCCGGCCTGCCTCCTCCTCTTCCATTGTCGGGCCTGCCGCCTCCTCCGCTTCTGATGCCGGGCCAAGCCTTCCTCCTCCATAGCTGCTGGCTGTCACTGACTCAGCAGCGGCTTTGAGGAGGAACGCGCCACTGCACAGAACACTGACAGGTTGTCGGTGATCTAACAGCGGCGCGTTCCTCCTCACACCCACCAGTGACAGTCAGCAGCCTGAGATGCCATAGTGACCCAGTTGGCCCGCACGGCATCAGGACGATGTCCTGTCCGGGCCCCCCTGTGCCACGGGCCCCATAGCGGCCGCCTGGGTCGCTATGGTGATTGTTACGCCACTGTGACAGTTAAATAGCTGGCACTGCAGCCTTACGATGGCAGTGTTCACCTGCAGACTGAAGGTTTATTTTGTCAATGAAGCCTCAGCGTAGCTGTCATGGTGGTCACATGATCTGGAAGCACTTCGGTTCCTGATCGTCGGTGAAGGCCGGAATCGAGAACCAAACAAAGTGTTAGCTGCTGGCTGTCAAACTGGGCTTGCTGTTTTTTTTCTTGAAGACATTTCGCTGGTCATCTCACTAGCTTTCTCAATTCATAAAGACCTGTACAAAAATTATCTGGGAATAAATTTGGTGAATGTTGCTCCGGTCAACATAATCTGTTTATCATTGCCAGCGTGGGGTCAGAGACCTCATGGAGGTAAGACATTGATTGCATTTGCATGATTGGAGCTAGCAGCTGTTATTAAGCCGACCAGAGCAGCTTAATGACACTTACTAGCTCTGAATTGAGAAAGCTGGTCGGATGATCAGTGAAACATCTTCAAGAAAATATACAGACAGTCCAGTTGCCTCGATTTTATTCTTTACAGACTTGCCATGACCTGAATAAATGAGAACCTTCACCGACATGAATGTTATGCAGTAAGGGTTTAGCAATAGTGGTATATAGATAACATCTCACAGACCTTCTTACTTTTTGTTCCTACATTCTCTTCAGTTATAAGCTTTTGTGGACAGGGTTGTACGGTTTTGAAGTCTACGATGAGCGGCATTGTGTTGCTGTTGTATTTGGTGCTGTGTATGTGCTACTTTTGGTGTAGAGCTCTGACACATATTAAGTAATTTTTTTCTTTCTTGCTACAGGACTCTGGTCAATGGGTCGGCCATCACTAACTCCACACAGCTCCAACACGGCGACCGGATACTGTGGGGGAACAATCACTTTTTCAGGTATCGGTCCAGCTGTATCTTTACTCTTGCTAAAAGTTCATTCTGCTTATATGTTGCCTTGTCTGGTTCCTCCAGAGTATGAGGAATTATTCACACCAATCTCTGCCCCCGAATGTGCTCACACGCCCGATGTCACCGCCAGAGCCTCAACCACACTGGAACCAGTTTATCCAGATCGTATATACCATATCGGTGTGTTGTGGAGCCTTGGTTCTCAACTGGTGGGTCGCCAGTGGCGTCACAAAGGGGGTGTGGGGGGTGTGGCTCGCACCCGGATGACACCAAAATGAATGACAGTCATTTTGGTGTCACCCCTTCTAAAAAGTCGGGTATTCGGTCATGGACCGAGAGCCCGACAGTGTCATGAGAGAGAGAGGAGGGGACCCGGCGGCATACTTCATCCCGCTGGATGAACGTCCCCTCCTCTCTCTGCCGGCGTCAATCAAATGGCCGCGCATGCTCGATGACGTAATTGCGCACGAGCGTTGAGCCGTCACGCACAATGACGGCACGGCGGGTTGTCAACCGGTTTGGAGACCGGGTAATACCCGGCCTTGGGACGCCCCTGTGGGTCGCTGCAGGCTTTCCAATTTTCTAGGTGAGAGGCTCCTCAGCTTCCCCCTAGCGCAGCGCTGTTCATTCTCACGCCAAGCAGACATTCAAAATATACTGCCCGGCACCGAGTGACAGCTTGAGGTGGGATGTGGCTGCGAGAGAGCTCCATCCATACGTGCATTGCTTACAACTCCCTTGCATGTCCTGTAGAGGTGCCTGGACCGGAGTGACGTCACATTCTGGCTCCCGGCACCTCTTCAGGGCACGCAAGGGAGCTGTACAAGCAATACGCATATGGACGGAGCTCAGTCACAGCACAGCAGCCCACACTGGACCCCAGGCTGAGGATCCACTCCAGTTCTCGTAAGGTAGGGAGAATGTGTGAGATTGTGTCTGTATGTATATCAGTGTTTTTGAGGGGCCGTTCACACTAGTACAGTGTGTTAAACTGTACCAGGCAATTGCACCTACCATGCATTCTGGTGTGGGAGGTGCGTTGCCATTTATTTGAATGGTACCCCAAACGCACCTCCCGCCCACAGTTTGTACACCCGCACCGGAACGTGTGATACCCTAATGCCGTGCATTCCATTGCAGTGCGACTTGGGTTGTGACTTAATGACATAAAACACATGTGGGTGCTGAGGTTACTCAGGTTGAGTACCACTGTTTTTAGAGGTAACGGCAGCACCTGGGTGAAGCCCATGCAAATACTGTGAGTGAGAATGTACATACTCCATGCAAATAGATGACCTGGTTTGAACTCCAGTGCTGCAAAGCAAACATGCTATTGATATGAACTGAGCAAATGAAAAAGCTGATCACATGAAATGTTTCTCTGTACTGGAAACCAGTAAATCTTTTGATCGATGAATTCGTATCCATCATACAGGGAGGTTGATGTACACTTCTTCAGTTGGCTCATGTCATCTATTCCTGTCCATATCCAGTCTTGCTCTTGCTGTCTGTTGCTTTGTCCTGATGTTGTACATAGCGCCCTGTCCCTCTCTGATTTCTCTCCTGTCCATCTGAAGGATCAGTTTACCAAAGAAGAAGAAGTCCGATCGCGAGGACGAGGAGCGGGACACCAGCATGAGGAACAGCAGCAGCTTCGATCAGCTGGACGCAGATGGAGACAGTTCCAGCGAGGTGTCCAGCGAGGTCAACTTCAACTATGAGTACGCTCAGATGGAAGTGATGATGAAAGCGCTGGGAAATAACGGTACGTCACATGATTACGGGCTGCGGGCATTGGCGTGTAGAAATTATTATAAAGAATGTCCTGGTGACTATATACAGTAGCACTTTCCACAGTGCTTAGGACCATATCTGCCCTTTAAGCCATAAGAGCGTACACTCTAGTATCCCTAATACAACCATACAGATGCACTCTAAGGCTCTTTGTTGGAAGCCAATTAAAGGGGCAGTCCACCTAAAAGACATAGATCAGTTGTAGGCAGAGACTACAGTGACCCCCCCCCCCTCCCCCACCCCAGGCTTCCTGAATCTCTTGATGACTCCAGCGGTGGAATCGATATGCTGCAGTTCCTGAATGCAATTCCACCCATCTTGGAGATTGGTGTACTCCTGTCCTGTTTGGGTTATCCCCACTTCTCATAGCACATTTTCCATTATCTGATGTCGATTTACATCTTCATGATGGCAGAAGTTGTGCAGAGATGGGAGATCAAGATGGGATTCTGGGAGTCATGGGAGATGTCTCCATGGGAGTCTCTGAGAGTTGTAAGAAAACTTTTGTGAGGTTTCATTCTTCCGAGTATTAGAGATACTGAGATGTTTTGGGTGGGTTGACCCTTTAACCTCACGGGGTTTTTGGGTCATGGATGGGAACTGGAACATCTGTAGGGGAAGATGGAGTCTCTCCAGGAACCTTAGTTCTCCAGGACTTAGTTCTCAAGGTCTAAGTACAAGGTTGGCAAGCTTCCCTGCTCCACTAGGTCTCTGATTATTGGGTAAAAACCAGTGTCTGATATTATTACCCGATGCTTTCTCTTTTGCTCTTTTTAGTTCATATTGTTTTCTCTGTAGAGTGATTTAATGAATGTCTGTGCTGGGCTACCTTCTAGAGCTACGAATGTAATGTCAACCAGGTGCTGACATATTGGACAGGCTGATTAAACAAGCCATGTCTGCAGAAAGGATGAACGATAGTCCCCAGGTCCATGTGTTAAGCCCCCAAAGCCCATGTGGTCCTTTCTGTGCCGAACCCACTGTCATCATAGATCCCTCCAGTCCTCCCTCTCAGGCCTTCTTATAGAAAAGACCACATTGGCTATGGGTTGCATGGTCCCCCAGTTCACTTGACCTTTTCTGTGCTTCCTTGGTTCATATGGCCATCTTGGTTTTTTTTGGTCCCTTCCCTTGTTCATGTGATCTTTTCCATGACACTCTTAGCCCTTTCAGCCTTCTCTGTGCCTCCAGCTGCCTAGCTGGGTTTGTTTGTGTGCACCAATTTCTTTTTTCTTCAAGCCCACCTCGCCTTTTCTGTACCCCCGTGTGTTTTTTCTTTGTCTCCTAGCCCTAGTTCCTTTTTAACTCTCAGCCCACTTGCTCTTTATGGGCTTTCCTAGCTACTTGGCCATAACCCTCCCACCCCCATTTTCCTTGTACCACCTGGCCCCATTTCTGCTTCTCTTTTGACTCATGAGGCCTTTTCTTTTGCCCCGTCATCTCTGAGCCTTATGAAGGGGACCCTGCGTGGCCCCGAAAGCATTGGCATATGAGGGACAGCATCTTTCAATAAATGATCACTCAATTGCTGTAACTATCGTTTGGTGTGCTGGTGACATTCTTCAATTACCTTCATGTGGCGGCGCCATCCGCAGTAATTTCCAGCACCCGCTGGTATATGCACATGGGCATCATGGTAAGGTGTGCAGCAAGGATTCTTTTTCTTGCTTTTCTTTGCCTCCTTCCCTTCTTTTCCAATATGGACTTCCTAGGGCCCTTGGCCTCTATGGCTTTGCACGCCAGGGTCTCACTTACACTTTTCCTTGCATTGCCTCTAGCCCACTTCCATCTGAGCCCCCCCCCCCCTTGGTTCTCTATCCTCTAGGATAC